CCACACGACCCAACCAGGGCCGGGGACAAACCGCAACCGAGGTACGTGCCCTTAGCGGGAACCGAACCCGGGTCTCTCCATACCGCAGGCTGACACTCTAACCGCTGAGCCAAACCGGCCAGGGCAGCCTTATGTATTTTTTTAAACTTTATTTTTATTGTTGACACTATTACAGATGTCCCCATTCCCCCCCTCCTTTGCCTATCTCCACCCAGCCCTCACCCTCTCACCCCTTCCTCTGGCCATCCATACTGTGTCTGTGTCTCTGGGTTATGCATGTATGTTCTTTGGCTAATCCCTTCACCTTCTTTCACCAGTCCCCCCGCCCCCCTGACAGCTGTCAGTCTGTTCCATGTATCCATGCCTCGTTTCTATTAGCTTCCTGTCTTTTTATGGTAATGAATTATTAGCCATGTCAAGGATTTAGAGTGGGGAACCTACATTGCTAACAATCAGTAATGTGCCCATTTCCAAACAGACATTTGAGGCATGGCCAAGTCCCTCCAGATTGTTACCAGCTTCAGTATTCCTTTTTTAGATAGCTGTAAAATAGGATGAATTGTCATTTTTTCTTTTAGCCCCTTGAGCTGGACAAATCTTACAATAAAAGAGAAGAATTGGATATCACTGTGTATTTATTACACTTTGGAACACAAAGGATGTTTGTGCAAGGGAGGATCAAAGCTGGGGCTGGAATCAGAACGTGAGACGAGGGACAGAGCCCTTGGTTAGCTGGTTTTGGCCCATTGTGGCCTCCTCCTCCCCATCTTCATAGTCCTGACTTGCCCTCCTTGGGAAATAGGAATTTAAGTGTAGAACGAGTGCAGAGAAAGTGAACTATCTGTTGAGACAAATAAAAACTGGCCCTGAGGCTTAAGTTAACTGAGGGACATCACATTAAAAGCTAAACATTACTTTTTTCTTTTTTTTATCCTCACCCAAGGACACTTCTGCATTCATCTTCAGATAAAGCTGGAGGGAGAGAGAGAGGAAGAGAGAGAGAGAAACATTGATGTGAGAGAGACACATCTAGTGGTTGCCACCCACACGACCCCAACCATTGCTGGGGACAAACTGCAACTGAGGTACATGCCCTTAGGGAACCTAACCCAGGTCTCTCTGGACCGCAGGCCAATGCTCTAACCACTGAGAAAACTGGCCAGGGCTGATTATATGATTTTTAATCTTTATTCTGTTGAAATGGTAGGTTACTTTGATTTTCCAATACTGAAAAGGCATGCATTCTTCAGATAAACTCACTTGGTTAGGATGTATTACCCTTTTGTATATTGCTTGGTTTGATTTGCTGATACTTTGGATCCGTATCTGGCAGTGGACTGACCAGGTGGGCAAATAGGCTGCACCGTTCAGATAGGGAACAAGGTTGAGCACATTCTGCAGAGAGCCATTGTTTTAGTAAAGCCCGCAGATATACCCACAATTAATCTCCCCTCCTTTTTCGCTTGTCCGTTGAACTGTACTGCTGTGAAAAACAATATATGAGTATGTAGGACAGGTCTGAAGTATGAGTTTGAGAGTACATATTTGGTTCTTTGAGGGCAAAGACTTTATATGCTGTTACAGAGACTCAAAATTACAGTGGCTTATACAGGATGGAAATGGATTCTTCTCTCCCATGCCTGGTACTGCCCTCAGCCACAAACGTCCTCATGGACCCAGATTCTCTAGCTTCCTGCTCTGCCAAACCAGTGATGTGACCTGCGTTGTTGTGTGGATGGAGGGGGCTGCGTCCGCATTCCAGCAGCAGCAGAGTGGAGGAGGGGTGAGCAGAGGAGGAGCAGCAGAGGGTGCCAGCCAGCAGCTGCCACCGGAGACGTCCACGTAAACATCCCGCTATGGAACTTGCGGTGGAGAATAAATAGTCATTCCCTGTAGCAGAAAAACTGATCTCTCTTTTACATTTAAATGTTTCTGGAAGTTTCTGAAACAAAGTTATTTGCAACATTTCTCTTTCTGGGCCTGAGTTTCCTGTAATAGCAAAGTTATGTTAACAATGACAGTGGAAAAGAAAAGCCATATTAATGTACACAGTAAACTGTGTGGGTGTGAATAGTTTTGGTTCTCATTACCAGTATATTATAGTTATGCTTCTAGAATCTTTGTGCCAACAGTAGGAATAGGAAAGTTGAATAAAGATAAGTCCCAGATTGTCAAAATGGTAAGATCGAGAATTGCATTAGATGCTGAGTTTTCTGCCTAAAGTCATGTCAGAATAAGTCTGTGCTGGGTCCATCGACATGTACAAAGACAGGACAGGGATTAGGGATCAGGAGCAGTTGTCTCGAGAGCAAAGGAGTCCGCTGGTGTGGCTCAGTGGTTGAGCATCAACCCATGCACTAAGAGGTCGCCGGTTCAATTCTCGGTCAGGGCACATGCCCGGGCTATGGGCCCGATCCCCGGTGTGGGACATGCAGGAAGCAGCCAGTCGATGTTCTCTCTCATCGATGTTTCTCTCCCTCTCTCCCTCTCACTTCCCCTCTCTATAAAATCAATAAAGGGGAAAAAAATTTTTTTAAAAGAGAGAGCAAAGGAGCCCTGGCCAGTTTGGCTCAGTGGTTAGAGTGTCGGCCCACAGACCATTGAGTCACAGGTTCGATTCAGGTCAAGGTGACGTACCTCAGTTGCGGTTTGTCCCTAGCCCTGGTCAGGATCGTGCGGGAGGCAACCAGTCGATGTGATCCTCTTGCATTGATGTTTCTCTCCCTCTCCCTTCTTCCCTCCCTCCCTCCCACTGTATCTGAAGATAAATAGAAAAATATCCTCTGGTGAAGATTTTAAAAAAAGAGCAAAGGACATGAGAAATAGGTATCACCAACTTTTATTACATCTTTCCAGCTATTAAATTCTGACTTGCACCAAGTTGAGATTTTCTGGCAGCAATTGGAAAGAATGGCAAAAGATTTAAAAGGCAATGACTTTTCCATCATGTGCTTCACTGTTCTTTAATGCCAAGCCATGTACCAACTAAAATCTCATGTACCACTAATGGTACACTCTCTGCTTAGGAAATACATGTAAAAGGAAGATGCTGGACTGGGGAGATCTGGGTTCTAGTGTTGGTTCTGTCACTCTGAGACCTTGGAGGTTACTTAACCTTAAGTTTCCTCTTCTGTGGTATTGTTTCGTGGAGTGTTTGCACTTGGCTTTGAAAGACATAGTGCAAGTACGCATGCACAGCACGCCTGAATGGTGTGCTCTCACCTGAGCATGAAGCATGCCGTGGCTTTGAACTAAAGCTCTGGCTACATTGAACAAGGGTCCCAGCTGGACGCGGGAATGTGTAGGGATGTGTGTACCATTTGGACAAATACCTTGCTAAGATAGTTGTGAAATTGCCTGATCAGGTGTACGTCAGGGGATGAGTTGATTGCCAAGGGCCTCAGACATGATACGTTAGAGCCTTAGAGGCTGTTTCGGACAGATCCTCAGGTTCCCATCTGTTAGAGTTGGGTTGCGGAATGGGAATGCCCCAGAAAAAGAAATGTTGCAAATAACTTTATTTCAGGAACTTCCAAAAACATTTAAATGTTGGAAAAAAAAAGTGATAACCTGAGAGCGTCCTGAATTCTGGAGCAGGCTGTCCCACGAGCCACTCTGGTCCTTACAAGGAGGCCAGCTGGCTCCCACATCCCCGCCTCCCTCAGAGGGTGGGTGTTTCTAGGTGCCAGACGAACTGCGGTCCTGGAAAGGCCTGGGCGGGACTGTTGTGAACACAGTGCTGTTTACCCGCTCACCACCTCCACAGTGCCAGCGACTGAGCAGGGTTGCAGAAAACCCTCTGAAAGTCTGCGTTGTTCCCACATTATTTGGAGTTTCCCATTCAGATGTTGTTGTGTTTCTCCCTGGGCCCCTCCCATTGGTGTCTTTTCGTCCCCATGGCATTTATTTCAGATCAAGGGAGGGAAGAACCAATCCAAAGTGCAGCACCCCGTTCTGACCCCTCCCGCCTCACCATCGCTGTCCACGCAGACACGGTATAAACACAGAATGGGTTGTGTTTTCTTGGGGTTAGCTTTTGTGTCTCCTATGTTAGTTCAGTTTTGATCACACCACTGTGGGAGGCTCTGAGGTAGCATGCTCGGGCACTCCGCAGGCCGGGCTGGGAAGGGGTGTGCTCCTGGGTGGATGAGAAGGGCACAAGTAGCATTTGAACTTTGGAAGTCTTGGTAGTTTGTTTCTTCACTGGGGGTGGGAGGATGAGGAGTGAGTGGATGTGGGGTCTACTCACAGGAGGGGGCACAGGCATCCACAAAGTAGAGGTTCCCTCCCCCTATTTTATCCAGATGGTAGGTTCCAAAAAACTTCACCAGGGGAAGAAAAGAGGTCACAGAGGGGTGCCCACAGCCTGAAGTTTGTTTATGTGGGGGAGAGTGAGCATGAAGCATCCTCACAGTCTGCCTGATGGGGTGTGGACTTGAGCCCTGGTTGGCATTTTGGTCCTGGGAGGGAGAGCCATCCCATCCCTGTGGTTTTGCCCACCTACAGCCATTCAGGGAAGACTGCATTTTAAAGCACCTCTGTGCCACCCAATGCTGTGCTGGGTGGGTTTGCATGTTATTTCATGCTCACGGCAGCCCTGCAGCTCTGGAATTTGTTCTGCTCCCCGCAGGTGCAGACCGAGATAGGAAGCGTAATTATTATCCACCCAAGTGGGAGCCAGATTCTGTCTCTGGTCTGATTTTCAGGCCCAGGATTCTTTCGTGTGGAGAGATGGAGATAGAAATGCCAGGGTCTCGACAAGTATAAGTGGCTCACATTCCCAGAACACAGCTGGAGACAGTCGTCTCTTAGTCACCTCTCACCATGAGACTGCAGGTCACAGCTTTGTTCACGGAGGGTTTTCAGTGCCCCCGCTTCCCCTGAAGTGAGCCAGCCCCACCCGGCCGGGGACTGCGCCTCATGCCGGTCCTGCTGGTCGCCTGACGCCCTGGACAGGACTTGAACTAGATTGATGCATTTCACTTCCTTTTCTTCCACAGATGGATCTTTCTGTAGAAACTCTCTTTAGCTTCATGCAAGAACGCCAGAAAAGATACGCCAAATATGCAGAGCAGATCCAGAAAGTCAACGAAATGTCCGCCATCCTCCGCCGTATACAGATGGGCATAGACCAGACCGTGCCCCTGATGGAGAGGCTCAACAGCATGCTGCCCGAGGGCGAGCGGCTGGAGCCCTTCAGCATGAACCCCGACCGCGAGCTCAAGCTGTAGCACCCCAGGCTGGCGTGCTGTGGGGACGGGCCTGGCACACCAGGACCCTGAGGACGTGTGGAACCGAAGTCCGATGCTGTGACCGGGGCGCGAAGCCGGTTGAGGGGGATGGGAACAGCCCCGCTGCCTGGACTCTTGTGTTGCCCCCCCCCCCCCCCCATGCAGCTGTTCCCGGTGCGCAAGGCACCCAACCCGTTCTCAGTGGTGCCTGAAGTCGGAGTGGTCTTACTAGGATTCTGCACAGAACTCTGCATCAGGAATTATTTTTATTTTGTTTAGATTTTTTAAATTGAGAGTGTATATTGTCTAGTCTGGCTATGGAGAGAAGGGGAGAGAGATTTTAAGAAGCTCTGTGTCCTTGATGCCTCCATGAAATTTTACTCAAGGCTCCGGGTTACGGGTTCTAAACATAAAGAACGAATTGAACCGGGTCTGTGTGTCGTCACTGTTCCTGCTGTTCGCACCCTGGCAGGTCTCCCCCCAGCCCTCCTGCCCCGGTGAAGCCCTGGTGGTGGTGTGTGCCAGGTATGGTGCCGCTCGTGCGTGGTCTCGGAAACCGGCGGCTCCCTTTCTACACCCTCATCGGGCGCGTCCCCCACTGACAGCTGGCTCCCTGATGCACAGTCGAGGTTTCTCTCCAGTACGTCAACACTGGCAGGACCCCCATTTTTGTAACAAGGTTTTAGGCAGCATTTGTTTTACCGGCCTGGCTTTGACAGCACTCACTCAGCAGGCTTCACAGGGCCATCGCATGTGCCAGGCCCTGTGCTGGGGACAAATGGCCAGAGGCCCTGCCTTCTTTGAAGACAATAAACTCAAAATGCTGCTGGATTTCTATGGGAGAGTAGGAAATGAAGCAGTTTGAGTCACCACAAAGGTGACTTTGCACATTATAAGTGTTCTAATGGAAGAAAAGACTGAAGAAGCAAAGAAGTGGGTCATAGGAACAGATCCAGGCGGGGAAACTGAGACAGAGCAGGGGAGGAAGGGAAGCCCCTGGGGCCAGCATGTCATGTGGGTCTCACCGTGATCCCTTGATGCCCCCCAACCTCAGAGGGGATCCTTCAGTGTCAGAAACAGCGTTTGGTATATTTGTAAGATTAAAATTGACCTCACTTAAGTTAGCATATCTCAGGTAAACTTGATCTGCTTCTTGGAGTTATAAAATTTTTAAATCTTGGATTTTAATCAGATACCATCTTGCAAGGTTCTTACAACCCAGAATAAAATGCTGGGCAGAGCAGTATGAAGCTGCGTGCAGAGGAACGCAGTGCAGGCCACGTGGTCCGGGATGGGCTGCACGCTGGAGGGATTCTGGATGACAGAAGAAACATGAACGTTCTAAGCTAAATGGGAAAGAGTTAATTAAAAAAAAAATTCAGACATAGGTAAAAAACAACAGCCTCTAGGCTTTTTTAAGGACCAAAAAAAAAAACCCAAGATTATTCATTCCCTCTGAGCTGGAAAGACAAGTTGGAAACCAGAGCCCAGGGAAGAGGCCAAGGTCGCATCTACCTCTCTCCCAGGTCAACCTCAGCTGCCATCTCTGCTTGCTGGGCACTGGGGCCTTTCCTCCCCCGTTGTAAGGCGGTGGGGGATCTGAGGAGGGAAAGTGGCCTGAGGGAGCCAGGGAGGAATGGAAGCCGTAGCTGAGGTTAGGAGTTGGGCCACACTGGGGAAGGAATTTGTCTTTATAATGGCCTTTGATGGTCAGGATTTTCGTGGGGCGGTAAACTATTTCTAGAGCAATTCATTAGAGAGTTCAAATCAGGGAAGATGTTCTGTAACTTAGAAACTTATTAAATAGTAAAGGTATTCCGGGAAATGTCGTGGAGGAGAAGACAGCAACATGGGTTGAATCATGTATCGTCCCACTGTTGATGTGCAGTGTCCCTTCATGTATTACATTTGCGTGTCATTGAGGATCTAGTCGGGACTGTATGCTGAGCTATTGAGCTTTCTCTGCATACCGTTTCACACTGTTTTAATATAATTTCACAGTGCATTTTACTATCTAATTTGGCTATACTAGATTCCACCTACCCTTATTACTGTGGGGTTTTTGTTCTTTTTGTAACTTTGTTTTTAAAATCTTCAAACCGGCAGAAAAGTGGCAAAAATATAAGGAACTCACCTGGCCTGATAGTGAGAAGCATTTCAAAGCCATCGCCATCAGGTTTTTTTGTTTGTGTTTTGAGTCCCTGGAGTGTCCAGAACCCAGCTCTGAACACAAGGACGGCTTGTAGCTTTCCAAGAAGAAAGGGCTGGTTGTCTACAGGGCTACAAAAATAGTTCAGGGCTCAGGTGCCGTCTCTGCACTAATACAATTTACATAGTAAAGTGAATTAGACAAAACTTGCCGTGAACTTAGATCTGCGTCCAGAGTAGAGCAGAGGCTACTTACCACTGGGTGTGTGGGTGGGCGGGCAGCAGAGAACAATAGGTAAATTCAGTATTTTAAAAAAGAATTCAATGAGATATTTATGGTGTGTGGTGGTTCTGCGATGTTGTCCACTTGTCTAACGTGTACTGTTCCCCAGAATCCCCTTCCTGTTACTGTCTGGCTAGGTTGAGCCACAAGAGGAACGTGCAGGAGATGTGTTGGTGGCGTAGCGCCGTGACCATGCTCACTCGCCGGAAGGTGCCGAGGGTCAGGCCATGTTGCATCTCGCACATTTCATGGGTCTTGTGGGCAGCAGCTGGGCCCACCGCTTCTCAGGCCCCTGAAGAACGCTGCCTGCTGTTCCTCCAAATCCGGGCCGGGTATGACACCAGCTTCCTCGGGTCATCTGCGGCAGGGAGGACGGAGGCTCAGAGAGGCCAGCGCGGGTTCTGGCGAGGCGGACGCCGGCTCCACCTTGTTGCTTGTAGGCTGCGGTTGTACTGGTCCCCCCACTGCAGACCCAGCTTCTTGCCTGACCACCTGCCCGGTGACCGCAGGGAAGGGAAACAGCGGCACTGGGACTCCTGCACCAGCTGCTGTAATTAACTGCTTCAGGTCAGTCCCTTTACTACCCCCTTTCCTGCGCTCCATCATTCCTAGTGGTTCTTCTCTGATACCTGTGTTACCTGTCCGTTCTCTCCTCAATATTTTACTTGTTTCAGTGGATTCTGGGAATCTGAGTGACTTGTTATTTCCAGAAACAGTTATGCTAGATGTCTGTTGGTTATGCTCGATGACCTGCCTGGCCACTGTAGGATGTTTCAGGAGTGAGGCAGCAGCCAGAGTTGTGGAAGAGCCCTGGCTGGAAGTTTCCTGGCTTAATCTTCGGTAAATCGTTTCAATCCCAGAGCCTGCTTCCACCTCCCGACAGCATAGCTAGTCTAGGTGGGCTCTCCGGCCCCTTCCAAAGCTAAGATGTCAAGTCTGCGGTTCTGATACTTGACTCTTTAGCAGTGATAAGGACCATCTTTACCTGTTGTCTCTGAGCAGGGGTCCTAGGTCATGGTGAAATGACTTCAAATTCTGAGTTCCCGAGAGAAGCTGCTTTCCTTCTTTTTGTTAATTATAAATTAGGTGTCAAGTGCCTCCTGTCTTTTTAAGAATCTGTTTTCTTGTCCGTTTATTCATCGGTATTTATGAACACCATCAAACAGGTCCCTATAATGCAGTCTCCTTGTTTGACTACTTGAAGTAGGTCAGTAGAAGCTGGCCTTCACTCCTTGTATTATGTTTATACATGTATGCCCGGGATTATACATGTACGCCCAGGATGGTTTGGGTCAGCCGTTAGAGTGTTGGCCCACGGACCAGAGTCTTGGGTTCGAGTCTGGTCAAGGGCATGCATCTCAGTTGCGGTTCGGTCTCTGGTTCTGGTCAGGGTCACAAGGGAGGCAACCAGTCAATGTGTCTTTCACAACGATGTTTCTCTCTCTCTCCCTCCCTCTTTCCCTCCCTCCCATTCTGTCTGAAAATAAATGGAAAAATATCCTCAGGTGAGGAATTAAAAAAAAAAAATTTACAACGCATTAAGTGTGGGGTTAAGAGCAAGTGATCATGTAGATTTCACGAGTGCCTTTCTATAGAGTTCTTGTTTTTATTTCCCTCAGAGTACTCTCATTCTAACTTAATTATATTCTCTGCCAGAGTAAATGTTTGATGAAACGAGTTTTGAGGACTTCACACATACCCTGAGATATGGGAGTGCACTCAGGAAATGAGGTGTGTTCATTTATTTTTTAGGTATTCTCTAGGTATTTCTTTGCTTTTTCCTCTGATGTATGAAAAAGGTTCATTATAGGTATCACAACCATGCCATTTCCAAGGTTACATAAACCACTGGCCCTGGGGGACTGACATGTGCCGCTGGGTCTGTGATTTGTAGAATGTATTTAGCTTTGGCATTTCCCCTGGTCCCAAAGCAAAACCAGGAAGTCTTCAGAAATTGAGGGCTGTGAGTAAACACTGTATTAAATTCTAGACTGAAAATTCCCTCCTTCCCAATTTGTTTATAGTACCTCAGCTAAACCCAGATATAGAGTAGTCAGTAGGAAATTACCTAAAATGTTGATACTCAAGGTTGTGAAATAAACAGTTTTATTCTTGTGGACTTTTTAGGGGTGAGAGTTTTGTAATCGTGAGAAGTACTTATGCTTTTCTTTCCACTGCCCTGACTTCCATTACATAGTGCCCCAGAAGAGATGTCATTGTTCACTCATTTATAACAAATCACATTTCACTTTTTGCACACATACAAGGCATTCAAATGTCACAGCTACAAAAGGGTAACCAGGTAAGTTATTCATGTTTCAAACCAAAGTATCAAAACACTTTCAGTAACTAAGTCCAGTTGGCTGCCCCCGTTACTCTTAGGACCTTGTTCTGGGGCATTGGTGTCACTGGAATAACTGGTGGCATTTAATGACGACTCAACTTTTCTTCACCAATCAAGGCACATTCCAACTGCCACCTTTCCCTATAGAGTGAGGCATGATTTATGGGGAAAGTTTTTGTGAACCAAGTACTTTTAAAGTTTTTAAGAACCAAGTCTTAGAAACTGTTACAATTCCCCTAATCAGAGGACCCAGACCTTAGCTGCACTCTCTCTAAGGTGCCATTTGCCAGTGACAGCGCTCCTACAAAGTTACATTCTGCATTTCCTGTGTGACGGCATTCCAAACTGACTCCTGTTTTAGCTAGAACCAAAGGAATGAAACTCGTTTTTACTCCTGTTTTAGCTAGAACCAAAGGAATGAAACTCGTTTTTACATAAACCCAATTTGATGTCTGTGCACATAAACTGTAACAATATGATTGACTTGTAAACATCTCCCAAGAAGGCACCGCAATTTTCCAGTTGATTTTGCAACACCTGAAAGATATAACCAGTATAATTATGCTGTATAAGGATGAATGAGCCCCACAGAAAGCTGGAAACAACTCACTTCCCTTTTCCATTTATTGATGCAGAAGAGTAATAGAGAAAAGCATCTAGACACATTTTGTTTACTAGACCCGAAACATTCCTACTTAGTGTCAGAAAAGTAAAAGCAGACAGTGTTTAAAATAAAATGGCAGTGAAGGTTTTAAGGGTAAAGGTTTTGTCACCTAGTCCCACTATGCACGCCCTACTCTTCATATCTATGCCTTCTTTCCCTTAGTCTAAGTAATGGTCCCCATTTAGCTGTCAGACCCAAACTAGTCCTCCAACACCAGCCTACTCGCCCCCCCAAATCTGTCTGTGCTTAAACTCGTAACTGGCTGAACTTTGGGGCCTTCCCAACATCTACACCTTATCTGAGCCTCAGTGAAACACCTGCTCCCTGTCACCTTCCATTTTGAGGCAGATTTGTTCCACACTCCCTTTATTCTTGTCACACCCCACCTCCATTTTTCTGCAAGGTGCTAGCCAAGGCAACTCTTCTAGTCTTCACTCACTCGTTCCAGTTCTTCAGTTTCCTTAAATCGAACTTTAACTCAGAGGCCTTTCACAACCAACTTACATGACATCACCTGTGATTCCTAGTCTCTCCATCTGCTTGCACTGAAGATAAATGCTTTATTCCTTCTATAATAATCCTTTACTAACAGCCTGATGAGACTCAGCTTCTAGTCTCTTAAGTCACCATGTCCGGTGTCATTTTATAAGCAGAGAGGTCATTAAGATGTATGTGGCAAGCATGGAGACTAGATTTTTAATAACTATTCCTCCTCGTATTTTTCCTGCACGAATCACAGCACCATTTACATACAATAAAATGTCACACAGATGTGTATCTGGCCTTTCCGTCCCTGCCCCTGTACTTGTCCCGGATGCGCTGTCGTCAGCAAATGCCTGCCCGTGCCTTAGGGGTCCAGTGGGGTGTGCATTCGGAATAGCCGTGAAAGGAGGAGGCTGGTGTGAACTGCTGACGATCCCAGGTCTCTGGACGAAGAGCTAATGGCAGCTCTCACAACTCACCATTTTATTCTGGTCTGAATCCTCTGGCCTGAGAGCAGGGGAGGCTCCACCGCTCCTTCAGTGTGGACGTTGCTGTCCCCCCGGCTCGATCGCCTCAAAGAGAGTCCTTTCTCATATTTATATAAACAGGTACCAGTTTTGATTTTATTTCATCGTATTAACACACATAACACATCAACATGAGAAATGCACAATTTAACCATTCAACAGCTTGTCTTACTCCAAAACAACACTATATGCATATTAAACATTTATACAGTCTTTCCACCTAACTTTACAAATGTCCTAAACCGTTTCTCCCAGCATTTCTCACATGGAAGTCTAGTTTTGCTCTTTAAAATCACCACTCTGTATCATCCTAGTAGACTCCAGGGCTTCCCTAGGATTACATGCTGAGGAGAGCCAGCCACCGCTGTCTGCAGACACCCAAGTAGCCCAGGACCTGTCTCTCGGGCTCCTCCTCAGCATGGGAGTCTTGATTCCAAGAACTGATTATTTGACATTAATGATCAAGGACTAAAGGTTGTAGTGTATGACTATATCACAGTCACAAGAAGGAAGGGAACCATGGTTAAGAGAAATTCCAAATGACGGACAGCAAATTTCTGCCCAAATATCTCATCTAAACCAAGTCCCCTAACCCTCCTGAAACATACTTAACATTGGAGCTATTGCTTTCATTTCTTAAAAACATTCAACAATTATGAGCAAACTCTGAAAGCAGTGAGCTGTTACACATGTGTGTGTGTGTATACATAACACATCAAATTACTATGTGAAGCCTTGAGAATGTTTGATTACATCCAAAATGTAAAAGTATAAAGAAAAACACTCAGATGATTTAACAGAACTTTTTTCAACATGGTAACAATGCACTCACTCCCTATGCAGTTTACTCTTTCTGCTGTCATTTCATACCCATCCCATAGCACAGTATCTGTGCATAATTGTTACGATCAAGTCTGTTTTGAATCATGTAATTCTATGCCGGTTTTAGCAGTCACCAGAGGAAACATTACATCACATCCTAGTCAAAGACTGTCCATTTCTCAAACATAGAAAAACCTGAGATATGAGTCAGCAACTAGCTACACTTACAGTAAAGAACAATGATACCCCCCCCCCTTCCCCCAAAAAGCTGCTGACGTAAATTAAGGCTTCAAAAGAAGACCACACTGTAGTTGACAAACCCAAGCCAGGAAGTTTAAAAGCAGGGATTTACTATCACTTGCGTACTTGTCCGAAGCACCTCCTATTTTCAGCTGCCAGGGTCGATTCCATAGTGATTGTAGGTGGAGGACTGAGAGACCACCTTGGTCCCACCCCATTTCGATAGGTCCCTTCTACTAAAGAAATGCTGAAGATATTTTCTGATAATAGGCTGGCTGTGGCTTTCCATTTGGCTCACAATGAGACAAAATGCAACCACCTTCTCATCTCCCTGTACTGTTTTATTCTGAACATTCCTTGCTTACTAAAGCCTTTCTCGGCCTGATTAGTAAATCTGCAAGTCTAAGGAAATTATAGAAATACCACCCTCTTCACACACTAAGGAGAAAAAAACAAACACTGAGAAATAAGTTTCCTGCTTCTCCTCAGCAACTGTACAAACTTCATCTTTCCATAGTTTTTCTCCCTCTTGGTAGTTTCCCTTAGAAGTCTACCTATTGTTACACTTTCAAAAAATGTATCTGTGCAATGGAACAAATGGAAAACATCTACTCTGGCTGAGAATTTGAAGGTGCTGCTGCTCTGCTACCAACCCAAATAAATTCACATCTGGCTTTAAGTCAAGTTAATCTTCATTTAAAGGATTAGTAATTCCATTTTGAGCAATTCTTTATAAGGAGGGAGGTAGACTTGTTTAGCCTCCCAACTTAGCTGAAATCATTATGCTGCCAGATTCCTGGCTGTTGCACTGAATCCTACCTAGATGATTTCCCTTCTCTTTCTTCATAAAGCTGAGAAGGAGGAAAGAAAATATTAACTACCTCCATCCAGGCCCAACAGGAAATCTGTGCATAGACAGTCTGAATTGGTCTGAAAAGTGTGACTAGCTACCTACCTATTCACAATGCCGAGAAAACGGGCTCCCAGACATGGTAGTGGTGAAAGCCCCGACTTTCTGTCTGAGGTACTGGGTTTGCTCTAAAGTAGATCTTGGCAAGGCCCCTAATGGTCTGAACAGGAGAATGATGCGCGAATCACTCGGCTGTGCGGTGAGCTTGGATTTGTGAATCAGCTTTGGACGTGATCATTTCTCTTGGATTTACCATTAGGTTCTGTCCCTAGTAGGGTCTACCCACCCGACCCACAAGCTGGCTCAGTCTCAGCGCTAAGGTGCACTATAGAAGGAAGGGACAAAGACTAGTACTTGAGATCTCTGTAGCACAACATGAAAACGGGAGGGGATTTTGTCCTCCAACACCAAATAAAACTTGACTCAGTGAGAATGAGAGGATGTGCAATTAATTGCATAGAACTATTTTATCTGTTTACGGGGAACTCTAGCATCTATCTGCCCTTCCACTTCAGTTGAGAGAAATATTAGCTGGTCTCTCAAATGCAGATGTTGAGAACAATTGTGTTGATCCATCTTTTGCTTTTACACCATAGCTCCATTTTCCAAAAATATATATGTATGTACATATATATATATATTTCAGATTTACAGGGAATATTTTTTTGTGAACGAGAAAAAACTGTCAATAGAGTCACAGGCGCCTGTCTTCTCAGGAGACCTCAATGATCTCCATGCTGCCTGAGAAGCTAGACTGGCTGCCCACTTTCCCCAGTTCTTCCCGTGACCTGTTCTCTGACATGATACTCTCTCCAAATTCCATCTGGCAGCTTCTGCGTTTAAACTGCTTTTCAAAGGGGCTCTCTTCATGCCAGCTCCGCCGGGAGTCAGCCCTGTCACTGGGCTTCTGCCGTCTGCGCACGGAATAGACTTGGTCACTGCACGTGGGCAGCTGGCTGCAGCTGTAGGCAGAGTAACTGGCACTGCCTCCATAGATGGCTGAGGCGGAATAGAAGTGAGAGGACTCCGTGGCAAAATACCAGCTATTGGTCAAGGAAGGGGTGGAGGTCTGGGGAGCCAAGATATCTGAGTGCCAGCCCTTGAGGCCCAGTCCAGCAGCAGACTTCGCGAGGTGTTGCTGGCTGGTGGAAAGGCCAAAAAGGAAGTTGGTATGGTAGTTGTCCTCCACGCTCCCACTTCGATGCAGTGGAGATAAGAAGGACCTTTGGGTGGCACCACTATTGCTGGTTCTTACTGAGTGTAATCGCTTGCTCTGGCTGTCTGAAGGCCTGGTAGTCTGAGGCTTCTTAGGGATGTTGGCTTCCTCCTTATCTGGGCTTGTTTCTGGAGTCTGCTCCGATACTTCCTCAACTGGAGAGAACTGGCATAGCTTGCCAGGCCCATCCAGAGTGGTGGAAGGTTTGTAGTAGTCCAGAGCATCTTCTGATGAGGAGAAACCATGCAAGGACGCTGCCATACTGGCCGAGTACGAAACTGATTTGATATCCAGAGAGAAGGAACGCTTGAGCTTATTGCTGTCTTCCAGCTTGTCCGAGGATAGGTGGAGCCCATTGAGTGCCTGTACCAGTGGGCTGTCCTCTAACAGTGGTGGCTGTACACTGGGCATACTGGCAGGATGCACAGGCCTTTGCCCTGCTGCCTCTGAGGTAGCAGAGTTGGCACAGGGTGGACTGAGGGACATCTGGCTTTTCTGTCCACCCTCTGAGACTGCAGGGACAGGTTCATTTGACTTTTCCAGGTGCAGCAGCTTGAGTTTGCTTTTTGGCCCTGATGCTCCAGTCTGGTTCTTAATCTTCTTCTCATAGTCCAGGAGTTGGCCCAGAAAATTGAAGTTTGGAGATATAGTAGGTCTTTTTTCTTTCACAAATCTATGCAGAGAGGAAAAAAACAAAACAAAAATACCCTTGAATTTTATGACTACACTTTATCTCAAGAATATTAAGTGAGAGCATAATTGCCAATGATACATCAGATAAGGGGTTAATTTCAAAAATATATAGAGTGCTCATACAACTCAACAAAAGGAAGACAAAGAACCCAATTAAAAAATGGGCAGAGGAACTAGACACCTCTCCAAACAGGACATACAAATGGCCAAGAGACATATGAAGAAATGCTCAACATCACTAATCATCAGAGAGACGCTAATTAAAACAACAATGAGGTATCGCCTCACACCTGTCAGAATGGCCGCCATCAACAAATCATCAAACAACAAGTGTTGGCGAGGGTGTGGAGAAAAGGGGACTCTAGTACACTGCTGGTGGGAATGCAGACTGGTGCAGCCACTATGGAAAACAATATGGTGTTACCTCAAAAATTTAAAAATTGAACTTCCATTTGACCCAGTGATGCCACTTCTAGGAATACACCCTAAGAAGCCTAAAACACCAATCAGAAAGAATATATGTACCCCCATGTTCATAGCAGCACTATTTACAATAGCTAAGATCTGGAAACAGCCCAAGTGTCCATCAGTAGACGAATGGATAAAAAAGCTGTGATTGGGTGGTGGGGGAAAGATAAACCACAGAACTTATATGCATGTGTGCATGAACAATGGACATGGACAACAAAGCTGGGGACAGGGTGGGGGGGAGGGGGAATCAGTGGGGGGAAAAGAATCATCTGTAACAAAAATTAATTAATTAAAAAATTAAAGATAAAAAATAAAAAAGCTGTGATACATATACACAATGGAATACTATGCAGCTGTAAGAAAGATAGATCTCTTATCCTTTGAGACAATACGGAGGGACCTGGAAAGTATTATCCTAAGCAAAACAAGCCAAGCAGAGAAAGGCAAATATCATATTATCTCACTTATTTGTGGAATATAATGAACATAACGGTCTGAGGAACAGGGTAGACCCAGAGACGTGGAAGTAGGGTACAGACTGACAATCCTCAGAAGAGGGGGTGGAGGGAGGAGGGAAGTGAGAAACCACAGAACTTATATGCATGTACACATAACCGATGGGCATGGACAACAAAGCTGCGGATGGGGGGGGGGGTGTCAATGGGGAAAAAAGGAGAAACATCTGTAACAAAAATAAATAAAAAAAGAATATTAAGTTGAATAAATGAGATAGGGAATTATTAGACACATCCTCCTGAATGCCTTTGGAAGATGACTATTTTAATCAGGCAGATACCTCAAGGTAGAGAACAGAAGGGCCTCTGTATTGGGGGAACTTTGTAACATGTCCCTGGAGCATGCTAGAAAGGGGATGCCAGGTTCCCAAAAGCTCTGGTTTTAGCTTCCTTATTTTCAAGGACTGAGAGCTTCCAATACAGTTGATGAAATGGGTCTTTCCTCACCACCAAGAACATCCCCCACCCCGTGCTGCCATCAGAAGTGCAGTGTAACGACGGCTGCCCTTTCCGTCTTCCATTTCCTAACATCACGCCTTCTCCAAGTCACTTCCTCAAGGCAGTTTTCACAGTGTAAATTAATGACCAGAAAACAGGGTATCAGATGTCCAGAGCAGCAAACCATACATTTCTCAGTTCCTTCTCTTTGTTCTCAACATGACAGCTATAGTGGTCTGTGTGTGCCTAGCACTATGCTAATGCATTAAATCAAGTTAATCAAGTATCATCTCCTTCAGGCCTCAAAACCACCCCATGCCAGGTGGGTATAATTATGCCCATCATATAGGTACCTAAAGTCCTTAAGTGACTTGCCTAAACCACACAGCTACTAAGTGAAGGCACTGGGATGCAAAACCAGGTCTAAGGTCCATTTTTTTCACCATTATGTTAAAGATGACTCATCAAGGGATCAAAACTAGTAATAAATAGCTGTTATGTTTCACTGTGGAAATAAAGACTCTTAAGAGATAGTAAATTCTTTAGTGGCACCTGGCCTTATGGACACTCCTCAGAAGATGTAGGAGTGAAAACACACTGTAAACTTATATTTGAATATTAAAAGAGAAAAATAAAAAATAAACTCCTTGGAAATCAAGTAACCTAAAGCAAATTAACAAAGCCAGAAATAACGGGCTCAACTATAACAAGTGTAAGTGTGGAGACCTCATAATAAGACTCGGTACATGACTTAAGGGTGACTTTTCTCCTGGCTTCTGCATGGTGCAGGAGGAGATTGGGGAGGAAAACACGAATGAAGGGTGAGGAGCTAATGCAGACAATGGAGGACCCATCTCCTCCATCTCCTTCCTCAAATGGAAGCTGTTTAGGCAGCATGTCTCTTTTTTCCAAATTTGCGGGGGGGAGTCCCAAAACAGATCAGCTTCATGTGTCTATATTTACTGATTCCTAATCACACGAAAACTAACCACCTCTATCCAGTAAGACATGCAGAGAACTCAAATGCTCCAGGCATTGAAGAAAACCCTAATTCATGGTGTGCTATTCACTTGCCTGCCCAGTCAAAATTATACACTGCCACCCTGGTCGGTTTGGTTCAGCAGTTAGAGCGTTGGCCTGCAGTCCAGAGAGACCCGGGTTCAGTTCCCGCTAAGGGCATGTACCTTGGTTGCAGTTTGTCCCCGGACCTGGTTGGTCGTGCGGGTGGCAATCACTCAATGTGTCCCTTTCACATTGATGTTTGTTTCTCTCTCTCTCTCTCTCTCTCTCTCTCTCTCTCCCCCCCTCTCCCCCCCCCCTTCCTTCCTCCCACTCTATCTGAACAAAAAATGGAAAAATGTCTTTGGGTGAGGATTTAAAAAAAAAAAAATTATACACTGCCAAGTCTGGGCAGCTGTACAATGTAGGAAATTTTACTCAGTGAATGGAACTGGACAATTATTAGTTTAACAGTTCTTGCATGTATTAGGCCTTTTCCTCACAATGAAAGAGACAAAGTTTCAAGCAGAGTAGAAACTTTGTGAGTAGTCTCCTGGAACTTTCCCCTCATATTTAAATTATAATAAATGATACTTCCCCAATGAGGAAAAGATATAAATTCACATAACAGGATAGAGATCTGTTTGGATTTGTTGTTCCTTAAATGTAAAAAGCAGCTGAGGATACATGTTAGGATAGAATTCATTTGAAATTATAAAAATGCATTCTTCTCCAGTCTTTAAAAAGACCATTTAAAAATCCAGTCACCTGTAAAGAGTGTAACTAAAATAATCACGATCCGCTTTAGTATGGTTACCCACCCTCATATCTCTTCATGTTTCAGGGCATATGAAAAGCCAGTCACACAGGACATGTTCCTGTCCTCACCTGTACGCTTCATCTAAGGACATGTCCATCCTCTTCATGATGTAGGCAATAGCAATGGTGGCAGAGCGAGAGATCCCAGCCAAGCAGTGCACCAGGACACATCCATTGGAGGCTTTTGCTTTTTCTGTATGAGTCAAATCCAAGAAGGGTCAGTGTCTTTCATCTGACAGCTCAAAAGCACATCTCATCTATGTACAGATATTTCCTTCAACAGTCTTTTAAGGAGGTAGGGGAAGATCATTTCCCCACCATTTATATATCGGACAATGAAGGTTCAACCGTGTTAATAAGCAATTTGTCCCTAACTCAGGTTGACTCCTCTTACTCAGTACTTTTCACCATGTATTTTTTACATTACTTGTTTTAACAACTTTCCTGGAATATAAATCCTACTTGATGATTACTTAATTCTACCTGTTTAGTGTAAAAAATTTCAGAAATACAGAGAAGTATAAAGAAAATATCCAAAAATCTTAAAATTTAGCTAACATTTTGTTTCCCCATGTTGTCTGTCACTTCAACTTTTTTCTTTTTTAATATGTTTTTATTGATTTTTTACAGCGAGAGGAAGGGAGAGAAAGATAGAAACAAGGATGTGAGAGAAAAACATCGATCGGCTGCCTCCTGCCCACCCCCCAGTGGGGAATGGAGCCTGAAACCAAGGATGTGCCCTGACCAAGAATCCAGCTGGGACCACTCAGTCCATGAGACAACACTCAGCCCACTGAGCGACACCAGCGGGGCTCAACTTTTTTCCTAGTTAAGATATATTAAATTTTTTACAGTTTTGAGATATAACTGGCATATAACATTGTAATACTTTTATTTAGTTGTACAACATAATAATTTGATATATAAGAGATCTTAAAATTTTTCAAAATATTTTCATTTCAAACACGTAACATACATTACTATTTAAAATAGCAGGGAGACAGACAGACTTAATCATAATGGTATCACATCATAACATGAAAAGTAGGTCAAGCTACTTTCAAAATGCTGACTGGAACCTACAGTATCCCTATTTTTTGTCAGGAGACTTTTCTATATGTCATAAAGCTGCTCAGTGTTTTTTGCTGAATTTAAGAAGAAAACCAAAATACACTATAAATTAGGTTTAGCATGTCACTTTAATGAGGATGAGAACTGTTATCCCTTCCTTGATATCCAGGTTAAGTTACTGCCTGATTACATCATCTTAATTCCCCATAATATGACAGAAAGACTTGTGGACACCATTAGAACCAAGAACCAAGGTAATTCAACAAAGACTGCTGCCATCTCTCACTGTTGAGGAGCTTTAATAGCTTTCTTGTCGGAGTTGATGAAGTTATCCCATATATCCCGGAGGAAACTAACATGTAAACCAGTACCATGACTGCCTCAATTCTAAACAAGCACATGGGTGCTTAACATGAGCTGCTGCCATGGAGCTAAATTCTTCCCTTTCAGTCGTTTTAGTTGATACTACCAAAAGTTTACCAAACCTTATAATGAAATTCTTGTAATTAATAGGTATCCAAGGAATCTGCTCTGGCTGCTGAATAATAACACAGCTATCCAATATTACCACCTCTGCTATATCACAAACTTCTATGGTATGGGTAATTATTCATTATGTACAAAACAACACAGGATTTTTGGATAGTAAATACATGAACAATTAAGCAGCTTCTTTTTAAATAGGGAAATCAAACTTAAGAAAACAAATACAGAGTAACACTGAAACAAATAAATGCTATATAGCATCATATTATACAAACCCATGTACATAATGTCCCATGACTTCCTGGGCCTACACAATTCCTTTCATTCTCTCAGCTGTACAGTATTTTAGTCTATACTACTATTAGTATTTCCCCTTTTGCCTTAGCTGTGAAGCTCAATGCTAAGGTTTTCACTTTATTTCAATGGATAACTGTAATTCAGATTTTATTGTACCTTTCCTAGCTTCATATTACTTGGTTCTTACTCTTTATCCCATTTTAATGTATCTGTGTGAAAATGTGTCCTTTGATATCCAATTTTTACTTTAGGCTGCTTCAGATTCTTACTGGAGTCCTGGCCGGTGTGGCTCAGGTGGCTGGAGTGTCGTCCCGTACTCACAAAGGCGGCAGGTTTGATTCTCAAGCAGGGCATATACCCAGACTGTGGGTTCCATCTCTAACCAGGGTGAGTGCAGGAGGCAACCAATTGATGTTTCTCTCTCATATCGATGCCTCCCCCACTTCCTCTCTCTAAAATCAATTTTTTTAAATCTATTTAAAAAAATTCTTTACGACTTCAGTTTCTCTTAAATACATTCTGAAATAGCACTTTTAGCTGAAATTAGAGCCAAATGTCTCTGATAGGCAATGAGCACATTAACCAAAATTATCTTTTAAAGAGGCAAAAACTAAATGACATGCTGATTTCCCAGAAGCACAATGGGAGGGATTAATTTTAGGAGTTTTGTTTGTGATTATTTAAATATAAAATAGCTAAGCCATTTTATCTTAAAATGTTTCACAGATGCATCCTAATTAAAGATGAAAACTCTTAGCAATCTGGAATCTTGGGGGGAAAAAAAGAACTGTTTCAGAATTACCCAAACTTTTTGAAAATTTCTCACAGATGAAAAATATATATAGGGAGAGGCTTAATTTACATAATTTCACTTTTTAAAAGGAACCAGTTTTTTTTTAATTCCAGAAACCAATTCAGAATATTTAATTATGAATCAGAGTGCTCAAATTTATGTGTTGGAAAAAAACAAAACTCCTCATATGGAACCTCAAGAGTCAGCTCTGTTAACGCTGCTCAAAAGCCAGCAGTTTCTCCTCTGTTCACCACTCTCCACACATCTCTGCCAGCAGACTTGACCCCCTGGCACAATGACACAGCGGCAGCTGAAGCTAGGAGTCGGGGGCTCCAGGACTGACAGTATGGGGCAGATGAGATCCTGTCACAACTAAGGCCAAAGAAATGAGCAACAGCCTGTGTGTTGGAATTTTATTAGATCAAATACTACTTGAAATTACTGGCACATGGACTGAGGCTTAGAAATCTTGTGACCATAAAGACTTTAAATGTAATGGGATTTGTTTTCATAGGATTTGACTTTTCTGTGGGAAAAACAAAGCAGCAAGGTAAAAACAGTTTAAGGAAAGCCACCACCAAAGTTTCCAACAGTATTTTATAGGTTTTGAAAAAGTGGATTAAGAAATTTAATCCCAAAAGTTTAACTGATTTTCAAACACTTGCAAATACGCAGTCACAGATCCTATCAGGCTTAGCTGTGGTAGTGTCTCATTAGCTGGAATGTCACAAGGCCAGTCCCTTGGGTAGCGCATGGTATGCACACATCACCCAGGCCACTAAATGAGATAAGCAGCATCATGTGTTGTTTTCAGACTATTGAAATCTCAGAAATAGGCTTATTTTCTCTAAAGGATAAAAGGGGATGGAGGGAGAAAGTACACCTATACATGAGGGTATAATCCAAAGGACTGTAATATCACTTGAGCTACTTACCAATGAAATCTACAGATCTGTCCAACCAGGGAAAAATTTTCTCACAAAAGCTGTCATTCACAGGCACTCGCAAGAAGTGAGACTCGGGGATGAAGTCAGGCTTTGGGCAGGTGTTGCTGGCATTTAGCACATAACCAATCCCATTCTGTTGCATCAACTCCTACAGAGGGAAAAAACAATTCAATAACTAATAACATACTAGCAGTAAAGTTTAATGATAAGAATTACCAGTTTCCTTGAAATAATCAGAGTTCATTCAATACTAGTTTCCTAGAACCGGTCAGAGTTCATTCAACAGGTGAAATCCAAAAAACCTAGCAGAGTGACATTTACAGATTTAAGCTAAAAATAGAATTTTCTTTCTTAAGGGCAAAAATGGCTGTTTAAAATAGTATGCTTGAAGATCATACACCATTAACATAGTCAACTCTCAATTACTTGGTTACTAGAGAGAGAAGTAGAGCAGAGAACACAAAATAAGACCACAATGACTTTAGAATATACATACATACAATAAGAATATTTCCTCTGCAAACTGAACATGCTGGCTGTTCTCTAAGACAGTTCCAGGCAGTCTTCTCACTCTAAATGTTTGTTCTAAAGGCTGAATCTATTTCCATAGGTTTAACTATCAATGCTACGTCCTGATGATTCTTCAAATATGTACTCTCTAACTTCTAACCCACATTTACAACGATTTACTGGATATTTCTATCTGGATGTTCCTCAGGCCCCTCAAAATCAAAATGTCAGAGGCTCAACACATTATCTTTCTCCCTTCTCTGCCCCAAATTCCTGTTTCCACTCTGTAATCTAAAATTGGTTTATGGTAATAACATCCACTTGAGCTAGAAAACAGGATAGTTTCATTTTGTTTCTTTCTCACAACCCCCACATTCAAATAAGTGGTATCACCTCTCCCATTTGTCCTCTTCCCTCTATTCTCGTCTCTACTGCTCAGTGGTCAGTCCTCATCATGATAACACGAAAGCCACCAGGGAGCCCTTGAAGTCTGCAGTTTTATCCTCTGCAAATCATAAACTGAAAAAACACTAGAGAAATCTTTCTAATAATTAACACGGGCTGAGTGCTTTATCCACAAGTTTAATTTCATTGTGTCTGGGACTGCCTGTGCCCACACAACCTCCAAATCACCCAGCATCACATATACACCCACCCTTCCGTGCTCTGCTCTTCGTGCTCCTGTGCTTAGCAGGCCCTGTTCCTCTCCTGAGGACTCTTCCACTCTAACTACTTGGTTCAAATTAACCTTGCTATGAACTCTTTCCCACCGCTGTGTAATTAACTGCATTCTCTATCCTTCCAAAGTGCTTTGTCCACACCGTTAGTACAGCACCCAGCATACTAGGTTATAATTAGCGGATAATTATTGTCTCTCTCATTAAGCTAAGTAGTGCGATGTTGGACTGATTCTTACTTGTTTTTCTACCCTCAGCACCAGGTATGTACCTGCATTTAATACGTGTTTCTTCAACTGACACTCGTCTAGCATTTCCTAGGCAAGCCTATACAATCCACACCATTTAGTCATCATTGCTGCCTCCCAGGAAATGCTCTAAGCCTGTGATAATTCTCTTACAAGCAATTCTGGTCACTCCTTCCTTTTCTTGTAATGCCACCTCCTCAACAAATCTTTTCCATGACCTGAAAGACAGTTGGTAATTTTTTTCCTTTTTTAACCTCCTGAAACATGGCAATTCTCTAGTCCTTCATTTGCCATATTTGGCACAATAAATACATTTTATTTTACATAAAAGGTAGACTGAACACATCCAGATCATGTACGCAACCTTGTCTCAACTGTGAGATAACAATGTCAAGACACAGCTTTGGGAACCAGGCGAGCTTCTCTGTGTTCAGGGCTATCTTCTGACAATCTCGCATGACTCTGTGAAGCAGTACAGATCTCAATGGTGTTTATTACTATAGCTTTTAAACTTTTGAACATGTAGCAAAAGTCACATCTATTTTCCTACGATGAGATCACCTACTACCATATCTCCCATGTAAGAATTACAGTGGATCAGTCAGGAGTGACTCAGGACACCAGATGGCTATTCGAGGACACTATCCAAGTCTTATTTGCCCTCTTCTCCCCCAGTTACCTCCATAGCAGCCAGTAGGCATCCCAGTGCTGGTCTCTGAGCTGTGCGTACACCGGGATCTGCTGTGGCAGGCTGAGCTCTGGGCATGATGTATATGCTCAATGCTCACGGCGCTGCCATCACCCCACTGCGCAGGCTCTGCAGTGCCGGACAGCAAGGGAGCACGAGAAGGGGCTGTTCTGCCTTACAGAGGAAACATCGATAATCCAGGCACGCAGCACTGTTTGCATCTCCACAGTATCCTTCACTTACAAAACAATGTGCCATAAAAGGTGCATTTTTATAAACAGCTTTATTTTAGAGAGCTGGCCATGGGGGAAGGGAAAGACATTAATGTGTTGAAATTGAACGATAATAAAATCATTAAACACAAAATGAGAAAAAGTGAAATAATTTCACTTGATTTAGAAAAATTTTACTTATAGAAAATCTATTTATTAACTTAATTAACCAGCTGCTACCTGAAGTTCTTTTTTTTTTTTTTTTATCCTCACCCGAGGACATTTTTCCATTTTTTGTACAGATAGAGTGGGAGGGAGAGAGAGAGAGAAACATCGACGTGAAGGGACACATCGAGTGGCTGCCACCCACACGACCAACCAGGCAACCAGGGCCGGGGACAAACTGCAACCGAAGTACGTGCCCTTAGCGGGAACCGAACCCGGGTCTCTCCGGACCGCAGGCCGACGCTCTAACCGCTGAGCCAAACTGGCCAGGGCCTGAAGTTCTTTTTGTAATAAGATGGGACTTAATAAATTAAACATGGTCAATTTTAAAAACAAAATCCTAAAATGTCACCATATAAAACTTAAGTATGGTTTGGCTGCTGAATTAAATACCATAAATAAGTACCCTCTCATCTGGATAGGTAGTTACTATGTCTGGAAAGAGTCAATTAAAGGAAAAAAAGCGTTAAAATGATATATATGTACTTGAAATATTTTAACGCAAAACAAATGGGTGTACATTAATTGCTAACTTTTACTTTTATAGGTGAGCTGACTAGAGTTCTTAAGCAAATCACAGCAAACGTATCTGCCACTCATGCTTCCATTTCTTTAGTGGGTAAACTTGTGAAACAGTATCAGCACAGAATCCTGCAAGATTATGACTGTCCTCTAAATGTTTACAGTTGCCTTCCTCCCACCTAGACAGAAGAGAATGTAAAGCAATTTGTCTTTCCTGAATCTTTCTAAAACATTTAACTTAGGTCACAGAAAAACAATTCTCTTCCCTCATTCATATTTCACTGGTGTGTATGTTTTCATTAATGTACATAATTATAATAACAAGTACACTGGCCTAAACAGGTTTAAGAACAGACACAGCTGCCTCCTGTTCAGAAGGAAGTAGATGTGCTGCAGCCAAAAGCCCAGTGTGTCAGGAGGCAGGTGTCACCTGCTGAGGGCATCGGGTGGAGCTGTCAGAGCATCTCTGAAGTCAGTTCAGGTTTCTGCTGAAGTTTCACATAACTACCCATTAACCTGCTCTTCTGATTATTCTTATGGCATCTGTGTCAATGTTCCTGACATTGGAACTGCAGGGGAACTACAATTATGAAGAATGGGTCTAACTAAGTTATACAATAACAATTGCTTTTATTCATAGATGGATGTCAATGACTTGTTACTAAATTATAAAGATATGTTATCCATTCAGTTTTGTTTCAGTATGTTGTGTAAAACAACATGCACGACTGAATATTACTGTGCTCCATAATTAAACATAATTTTGAAGCTTCCAGAGAGCAATCATCTTATACTGTTTAATCTTTACCTCAACTTTGTGTGAAATCTGCTAATACATACTTTCTACTGATAAAATAATCTTTCTTCTCTGGTCTTCAAATATCCTTTCAACACCGTGGCCTTTCAGTCCTTTGAACTCTTGCCCTTAACCACTCACTCCCATGAGACTTAGTCTGGTCTCTGCCATTACCAACAACCACAAACCCTCCGTAATCTTGACCACAGGCAACCCACTTCCTCCTTCCAGCTTGCTCTCTCTTATCCCACTACTCCTGGAATCCTTCAATCCCCCCCAGGACTTAAAATCTGTTGGTCCTTCATCCCCATGATGTTTTTCTGTCTTTCCTCCTTGCCCACTTAAATTCTGTGGTCAATCATTATAATCACTCTGTTGCTTTCACCCTCAATTCTTTTGTCCCACTACCGCCTCTTCACACTCATATGGCAAGATTACAACCCTGGTTAAATCTAATTACCCACCTCATCTACATGTGAAACCCACATGCTGAACATGGCCACAGGAAAGTGCCCAGCAACACTGCCGGGTCTCACTTGGAAGTCATGGCTCCTCAGCAATCATGCTGTGTCCCTAGTCTGTTCACAAGTTCTCTCTCTCCCAGATGCCACTCCACTCATTCCCCTTCTCTCCAAACTCTCTATATGTCCCCTTTCATCCTCACTCTCAGCTGACAGCTAATCTTATTTCCTACTACACTGAACAAACTGAAACAATCAAAAGCAAATTTCAATAACTTCTACTACCACACTTACCCTCCTACCAGCACATGTACTGATATATCTCCTTTCCCTCCTGTTAGTATGGATGAGCTCGGTGGCATGGAATAATGGCAAGTACATGGCTGCTGGCCCCAGAAAACCAGAACACAGATTAGCACATTACTGTTCATTATCTGAATGGTCTTAGGTAAGTTACCTAACCTCTCTCAGCTTTAGTTTCCTCGCCTATAAAACAGATGATCGATCATGCAATGATTTATGTCAATTATATCCCAATAAAAAGCTTATAATCATATGGTATATAAATTATATCTCAATAAAGCTATTGCCCCTCCTCCCAAAAGAGCCTATAATGTATATTTTTTCATTAATTCAAACTGTCCTTTCTCCTAATTGGCCTTAATTAACGAAATTACACCGAATGTAGCATGCTATTTATAAAAAAAAAGGATTCATGGTCTGGCCAGTGTGGCTCAGTGGTTAAGCATTGACCTTTGCACCAAGAGGTTACTGGTTCGATTCCCGTTCAGGACATATGCCGGAGTTGTGGGCCTGATCCCCAGTGGGGGCATGCAGGAGATGGCCCATTGATGTTCTCTCTCATCAATGTTTCTATCTCTCCCTCTCACTTCCTCTCTCTCTACAATCAATAAAGGGGAAAAAATTAAAAAAAAAAAAAAAAAAAGATTCATGTGGTAAAACAGAAGAGATTACCCCCTAAGAATTTTCAAAAATGGATTCTGGTTTCCATATACAATTAAGAAAAGTTTCAAAAATAAAATATGTGAGTCAAAAAATAAACCTTAATTTTATTATTAATTATTATTTCCATGCACTATGTTTTTCCCATTAAAAGTTTCTTTCTCTTAAACCTTAAAATAACCTTTCCCTGAAGTTGAACTAATTTTTAGATATAGGCTGCATGGGCTGCTAATGTAAACTGTGGAGTAATATACAGAATACAGAATATATAAAACTGCTCTGTTTGGACAAGTCTCCCACGTTCAGCTAGGCTGAAAACAGAGATCCCACTAAATCACCATGGGCACTGCAATTCTAGATAATGAAATTGTAATTTTTATTTCGGAAGTCAGTTTAATGAGTAGTTTTGCATTAGCCAGTCTTTTTGCCTTCAAAATTGACCTCAATTTCTACTTTTTCCATCTGGCCTTCCTCAACCAACCACACCTACTATATGTACCACTTGCCCTAGCATCTGATATAACCCACCTCGTGATGACAACAGTGAACATCCCTATAAACCAGGCACTGTACTTGGTGCTTGGCATGTGTCATTTCATTTGAACCTCACATGAACCTCACATAAACAATCATTATGGTTTGCAGGTGAAGAAACCAAGATTCAGTAACTTGGCTAAAGGGATGTGGCTGGTAAGGTGGAGACCTGGGATGCAAAACTGCCCACCTCCAAAGCTGGCTCCCAGTCACTATGCCACACTGCCTCAGTGTCGGGAGTTACACTGTCAATCACCTTGTCTCACGAATTCTTGTTTAGTGAACAAGTCTTGTCTAACCATCTTGTACTCTGTGTGGTGGTCTATACACAGTGGATACTGAATAAATGCTATGTCTTTACTAAACATTTTGGTGACCTTTGTCTTCCTAGGTCATATGGAAACCCTGAAACAACATTTGGCTATACTGTGTCTAGGCTATTGCTAAACCTTCTAAAAAAACAACAGAGAAAGGAGCAGTAGTCCTTGTGGCACATAGAACAATGAGGTAGCATAGCAACACCAGTTTTGCATGGTGAAAGACTGAAATCAGAAGCTACACAAGAATGCTGGCAACACATAGTTTGAAATAGGGAAAGAGCCCTGGTGGTGTGGGTCAGTTGGCTGAGCATCATCCTGTGCTCCGAAAGGTCACCAGCTGGATTCCTGGTCAGAACACATACCCTGGTTACAGTGTGTGAGGGAGGCAACCAATCGATGTTTCTCTCTCTAAAATCAATAAAATATTTTTTTAAAAATAGGGAAAGAACCCTGGCCGGTTTGGCTCAGCGGTAGAGCATCAGCCTGGAGAACAGAGTCGCAGCTTCAATTCTGGTCATGGGCATGTACCTCGGTTACAGTTTGATCCTTAGCTCTGGTTGGGGTTGTGTGGCAGGCAACCAACCAATGTGTCTCTCTCACATCAATGTTTCTCTCTCCCTAGCCGCCCCCCCCCCCCCACCTCCCACTCTTTCTGAAAATCAATGGAAAAATATCCTCAGGTGAGGATCTTTAAATAAATAGGGAAAGCAGAGCTGTTTCAGTGAAGAGGCTGAAGTGGCTCACCACTTGTAACAATGCATACGTGCTGGGAGTACTGACCTGCGCTGTCAGCATGGTAGCCACAAGCTACTTTGCACCGGAAATGTGGCTCATCCACACTGAGATGTGCAGTAACCACAAAATACACACCAGATTTCAAAGACTTAGCACACAAAAAATAATAATTCTTTTATTGATTACATGTTAAAATATTATTCTAAATATGTTCTGGTAAATAAAATGTTATTAAAATTAATTTCACCTTTTACTTTTTTGATAAGGCTATTGGAAAACTTTAAGTTATGTATGTGGGCTTGCATTACATTTCCCTTGGGCAAGGCTGGTATAAATAAAGTATGATATGGAAAAAGCGGGAAAGAAAATCTCAGTTGTGATTCAATAGACTGTTAAGATTTGTCAGTCCTTCATAACAGGCTAAAGTTCCATTTTCCAGAAGATGGGTACTTCCAGTGTTCTACAAACACAGGACTTAAAGCCAGAGTAGCTTGGGTTTGAGTTTGATCTCTGTTACTGACCAGCTTTAATACCAATGACTTCCTAGCCACAATATCTTGGGTAAGTGACCTAACAACTCAGGGCCAACCTACCTCCTACTGCTATTATAAGGGTTAAATAAAATAATATAAAGAGACTAGCATTTTAAATGGTAAATATTTTGATCCTCTCAAGAAAATTTCTGTGACATGCTTTTAACATATTTTGGTGTCACTTTTTTTTTTTTTTTAAAAAAGACTAATAAATTTAGTAGACTTTCAGATGCAGTCTTTAAAGACTTCAGCTTCTAAATTTTAATAAAAAGAAATGTACTATTAGGAAAGATGATAAAATCTTCATCATTGAAGAACTTCAAGAAGCATATCACTTCTCCCAGAAACTTTTAAACCAGAGAGTTGAGAAGGAAGATCAGCTTATGCCATCTGTGAAATAGAGGCAAATCTGGTTCTAAAGTACATCATAGGGGAATGACATTTGTGGAATATCAATTTCCTCATTTACCGAATGAAGGAGAATGACAAAATGACCTCTGAAATCACCCTTCAGCACTAAGACTCTTCTCAACAATGAATCTGAGAGTTAAATGTAAATCTCTGTGCACCACTTTCAAAGTTGTTCAGCCTACCAGTGCATTCTAATGTCTCATCACTTCCTGTCTACATGTCTTTTCATAAAGCTTTCTGACAGTATTCCGTAACTCCATGCCCAAGCTATTTTACCCACGAACTTCCTACATTGTAGGACCTACAACCACTTCCTCTCAAAGGATCTATGTATGTATCCACTTTAGTATACATTTAGAAGCCAGTTAAAGTGAGAAAACTGGTTCCCTGTCCTCAACTTCAGGTTCCAGTTTAGCTGCTCTCACTTTGGGGACACTCACATAGTTGTTAAATTACCTGCTGGTTGACTGGTTAAGTTTTACTGGGGTACCTGTGGACAGGATCCCTAACTAGGAGTTTTATATTAGTTTATTTTCTGATCTGAGGATTAAATAAAATATCTCCAGCTTTGCCCTAGGGAGGCATGTGACTTTAGGAAATTAATTTTGCATTCTGTGACATAGTTTGCTTATCTCTAAAAGAGAATTAATAAGCATCACATGCTCAAAGGCATTGTGACCTCACCAGAAAGGCTCAGTACAAGCATGAGCTATCAAATTTCAAACAGGCCAATCTCAGTAAGAGCTGATATATTAACAACAGGGTCAAGGTAAAAGAGGCAGGAGTTTTGAGAACAAAAAAGAAATAAACAAAAAAACAGAATGCCTCATTGCTGCCCAGTGACAGTATATTTTCCTCCTGGAAAGTCTGGCTTTCCTCTTGCTAAAGGAAGGCAATCTTAAAAGAATTATTAAAAAAAAAAAAAAAGTCAATCTGGATGCTTTTACAGTCAGCCCAACTCCTTCAGTCCCTCCAGGAGAAAATGTTAAGGTTCTGCCTTCATATAGGACAGTAGCACTTATAAATCACCAACAGTTGAATTAATATCTTTGATTGCTTTTTCAATTAAAGATGATGTGAATTAAGAAGTTTTAGAGAACAATCACTTTTCTGGACACTTAGAGCACTGTTCTCTAGCATTACTGGTTAAGAGGATATAAGCTGTGACGGTACTGTTTTCTACTACTGTTGTTATGCTTGTCCCATTATATACAACAGCCTCAGCAACATGGGTCCCTCTGTTGGGCACACCTTGTTCAGTACAGTTACGTCCTTTTCAGCAAGAATCCATGCTGTTCCCTCTTTCTCAACCAAACTGCTCCAATAAACCTCAAACATAGCGGCCAGCAGTACACACTCTCATCCTTGTACCACCTCCCCTGCCTCTCCAGCCAGCAATCACCATGATGTCCTTCCTCAACCCAAGCTCACCTCAAATCCTTTTCTAATGTGCTGCAGTAAATACATAAATTTCTGAATGTGACACTAGGAAGTACCAGCCTTCCAAGTGTGCCCAATGATTAAAATAGAAAAATGAATACACTAAGAAAATAAGGCTAAACTTCTGAAAAATCCTGTCCTATTCCAGGTCTCTTGGACCTATGAGGAACAAACAAATATGACAACAGTTTAGGCTTCCTTTGGCAATCATTAACATCAAACAAAAAAAGCACTCCAAAGGATGATGTAAGTGCTCGCGGGGGAGTTACCCAGAGAAGGGTATATTTCCTTCCTGGAAGCCAGGTGTGTCTGAAATGATAGCGAATAGGTGATCGCTGTTTCTCCAGCTGCTCACAATAAACCCTGCAATGAAGGACATTTTCAAAGCACCCACCTTGTTGAGGACATCTCGCTGGCAGCCGAGATAAAGATTGGGAAGAATTCGGGTTGGCCCAATGTTGGCAACCGGTAAGCAAGGCTGAGAAATGCAGGTAGGAACTAGTGTGGATTTTCCTTCACAGAGGCCAGGGAAACAACGGGAGAACTCAGCAAACCCACCTAAAGATAAATAGTATACAATTATGCCATGCACAAAGATGAAAATCAGCCTCTGTGAACCACTCAAACAAAACTGTTTAAAAAGAAAAATCAAATGCTATACAACTGAAACTAATACAAAATAATACTGGATGTAAACTGTAATTAAAAAATAAAAAAGGAGGAAATATTAGGAAAACCATATTTTTACCTTGCCATTTCCGATTTCAAGTTATGTTATCTAATTTTCATAATATGTAAGTACAGCAGTACATGTAATTTATAAATAAGTAAATTAAGTAAATTTAAAAGGAAGAAAAATAAAATCCCATCAATGCAAGTGTAAATACTCGAAGCTGCCGACTGCTGGATCTGCCGTACAGTCCAGCACCAAGTCTTGGCTTGTGGGGCCACGACAGGGCTAGGCAAGCTTGAAGGCACTTAAGATGACTCTTCTCTTCCTCACTCTCTTCACTTCCACATATCCTGCAACATCTGCTCCCTGCTCCCTATCCCCCAGGTGACTGCTTTCTGTGCAATGTAAAGAGGAGTTAATGTAAGTAGCAAGTAACCACAGCAAGACAATTATTCACAGAAACCAAATGGGGATATAAAAAATGTGAACTGGGGCCAGATGACATTTATTCAAAATAATCAAGTTTAAAATCATTTCTGGAATTAAGTTTAATTCTTCCTACTGTATAGTTTTTTTACTGCAAAGGTATCAGAAACATAACTCAGCTCTGGTCTTACAAATATTGTCTATGTCAAGTCCTTGGTCTTCCCTGGGCACTTAGTCAAGGTTCCCAGTTACTACGGATTCCTGGGGTCTCCTATTCACTTTGCTGAGCCCTGTAAAGAAGTGTTGACAGACCCTAACTGGTTAGAGTACAGGGCAGGCTCATGGCAAGATCCCTGGGCTCAGATAAATTCCTTTTTTTCCTAGTCCTGTTCCTATAATTATCCACTCCTTGACATTCATTAAATCACAATCTAGCCACTTCTTTTTTTTTTTTACCCTCATCTGAGGACATTTTCCCATTTTTTTGTTCAGATAGAGTGGGAGGGAGGGAGATAGAGAGTGAGAAATATCGATGTGAAAGAGACACATCGAGTGGCTGCCTCCCGCACAACCAACCAGGGCCGGGGACAAACTGCAACCGAGGTATGTGCCCTTAGTGGGAACCAAACCCGGGTCTCTCTGGACCGCAGGCCGATGCTCAAACCGGCCAGGGCTCTAGCCACTTCTTAATGAAGAGAAATCTATCTAGCCATAGGAGGTTCTCTCACCCAGGCCTCTGGGAAAAGAAAGAATGTATAAGGTCTTCGCTGAGGTTTCCAAAGTCACGATTACTTGCTATCCAAATCCCAACTCAGGAACCAAATAGATTCTGATACGTTTTCAGATAAATTTCCTTCTATCCAAACCCTCACTACTCACACTAAATTCAATCTCATGAACCAAAGATATTTGGATCATAGAAAAGACTTGTATATTTTAATACTGTTTAATTAAAAAACAAGTAACATGTTAAGTATTATCAGAAGACAGGGAAGCCCCACTTTTACCTCTTTAATCAAGCCTTAAACAAGACTTTAAAATCTCCTTAAATTTTATGAGATTCATAAATCCATCTCCTTGAGTTACATTCTATTAGCATTTAGTCCACTTCCAGAAGGCATACAAAATATACTTCAAAAACTGCATGAGAAGTCCAGGGGGCTTGGTACAGGTTCCACAACACAGCCGGCTAGGATGGTGGAAGTCAGTGACAACTAGGCTACTTGCAAATGTGAAAGTGTACATTCCTAGCCTCCTACCTAAGTGTCTAGACTGTTTTACTCATAGTAGTTTGCTTACTAAAGTTGTTAAGGCAACCTGATGGAAAAAGTAAGTGGTTCCATTATAGAAATCCCAAATTCCTTGTGTTGACAGATGAGGCCCTCAGGATCTGTACCTACCTGTACCGTTTCATTTCTTACCACTTCCAACCATGACCTTCAGCTACACATTTCACACTTTTATGGTCTTCTCTTATCCAGGAATATGACCACCAGCACATCATGCACACATAGCACACAATCCACACATTCAAGCCCCATGATTGTGCAGCCGAGAAAGTAAGACCACCAGGCTCTTGTACCCAAGTTCATATCCTGGATTTACACCTTTCCAGTTGTCTGATTTGGGCAAGTTCTTTAAGCCCACTGGCTATTAGTCTCCTATCTGTAAATAGGAATAATGATCATACCTACCTCATAAAGTTGTTGAGAGCATTAGATTAGTTACATTGAAGTACTCTGTGCTTGGCACATAGTAAACACTCTATAGGTGTCAGTAATGATTATCTCAACATAGCAATCATACATTTAGGACCCAGCCTCATCCATGAAGCCTTCCTCCAACCTTTATGTACAGCTAGTTGTTTAGCTTCACCTTGTTAGGATTCACCAGACACACAAGGTGAAAATAAAAAGCAGCGCTTCTAAGGTTACATTTCCCAAAGTATGCCCCAGAGCACTGGTGTCCTGCAGGAAGTTGACAGACGAGATACTGGTCCAAAAAGTAAGAGAAATACAGCATATCACATGTCCCTGGGAGTGTCACAGCACACATTAGCATATTAAAAGCTCCAAAAAGTATCTCCAAAGAAACTAGTTTAACTTCACTGAACTCAAATAGTTTCCCAAACTTATTTGAGAACATGGAATTTCCCCCCCTACTCATTCCCTCTCCTAAAAAGTATAAAAAGCTAATGTAACTCACACTTTAGGAAATACTGTTCTAGGGCCATTGCAACCATTGAAATAAAGTCCATTAGAATTCCTACACCTACAAGTACAACCTGCAGACAATCTCAAAAAAGGGGTCATCCAACACTGACATATGTACATGAGTGTCACTGTTTTAGAATTTATAATTTTGTTTCTATTACTGTTTTGTTCCTTTTCAGCCTCTCTAATTGTGTAATACAGTTATTTAACGTAAGGTTCCACCTCCAAAGAAGTTTTTGTAACAAATGTTAGTCTCATCATTCTTGGCCTACCTTACACCTAGCCAACAAAATAACTGACAGGCACTATTTTGATTATAATTTAACTATATGAGCTTAAAATTTTACTTCTGTTAACTTCTGTGGTTCTGGTGTTTCTCTGAAAAACTGTTGTTTTGTTGTTGTTGTTTTTCTGTTCTGGCTCCAAATGGTTCTCGGGATGGTCTCTAATTTAAATCCACCAAAACAATATTCCAATAAATGGTCTCAGAGAAAAGAGAAACCAGACAATCCAAGCAAACTCAGCTTAAATTCCATTTTAAATATATAAGTAATCAGGCTTATAAATAACGTAAGTAGTTAGAGAATTATTGGACATTTACTATGTGACAAGCATTGCTCTAAGCACTTTACAAGTATTTATTCAAACTTGACAACTACTCTATGAGGTAGGTGCTATTATTATTCCCAGTTTACAGATTAGGAAAAGAGGTTCAGAAAGACAGAGGATACTAACTGGCAGAGCTAGGATATGAGCCCCAGCAGTCTGGCTCAATTGCTGTGCTATATCACTCTCGAAATACTTTGGATCAACTCTCTAGGATGTGGGACAGTCTTGCTGATATCCATGGCATCCTCCCCTCATGCCCCATGCCCTGCCAGGTCTCAATAACAAGCTCAAAATGGCACGGGCCTCTCCCAAACTGATGGAAGAGCCTTGTTTACCCAAAGCCATATGGTTCAAAAGCTCCAATGATAGAGGAAAACGGGAAAGAGGTCTGACATTACCAGAGACACAAGAGACTCTAAATGCACTTTCCATGAACTAGATGAAACAGAGTCACTGGTTTGTTCAAGATCACAGTTTGCAAGCTAGTGGTGAAGCTGAAGCTATGTCTCAGTGGTTTCAAGCCACCGTCAGGACAATTTTCAGAGGGGATGCAGTTCTGTAATCATCATAAACTGAGAGTTGGCCAGCCTGAGCTGTTCAGGTCCAATTCCACCATTAATTAGTACAGTGATCCCAAATCACGTTAACGTCAGTAGACCTCAAAAGTGAGTGTGGCTCTAGAAAATTCTAAAACAGAACAGAAATGAGAGAGAGAAACCCGTATTTAGCCCCAAACAAAACCCAAAAGCCAAACAAAACAGCAATAACACATTGTTAAACACACTATAAAATAAAAAGAAGCCTCTTTTTTACAAATCTTTTCAACTAATCTCCAGTACAAACTGGAACAGCCTTAAAATATTTAACCGATTTCATTAAAACCAGAGCATTCCTATAGTGTTCAGTCCGCTTTGAAATGTCCCAAACCATGGCTCCTGGTCACTTGCAGAAAACTCGACCTAGGCCCAAGGGCACACTCCCCCTGATCTTTATCTAGGACAAGGTTCCACTCTGCTGACATCTCCTTCATTGACAGTTTTTCCATTCACTGACCTTTCATTCATTGTACTCCAGTGACCCGTTTCGTTTCATTAACAACAGATGAGACACTGCCTGATTTCCCCAAACCCTGGAAAAACTATCTGTGGCCTCATCAGCAACCCAGTTTTGAAATATGTCTAAAATGTTCCTCTTCCTCTTACAAACTGAATGTAAGAAGAAAAGTACAATTTGTTTATGTAAAACTCTTGTTACCAATGGCTGACACAACAACGAGTCATCTTATCCCTCCCGATCACAGCTCTAGGCTCTCCCACACACTCCACTGTTACATTACAGGAAGACACAACATCAGTTCATTATCCTCCTTTGTTTACTGTGAAGAGCAGTACCGAAAAACTGATAAGCTTCTTGAAAAAGTTTAAAAATATTTTCTTAAAGTTGTTCAAAGGACTTGATTCGCCATCTGATCTTGCCAAGTTTCTCCTATAAATGGATTTTATGCTGTTTATCATCTGGGAATGTAGAATATAAAAAGTCATATAACCCACACATGCTCCCCTAAGAGAGACCCGAATCTAGGAACAGCTGTAGTTGCTATTCCCCATTATACTAGAAGTATTTGCTCATAGGAAGGA